CTACTGTGGTAACTGTCTCCCGTCATTTCTGCAACAAGTTTAAAATTTCAGCCACTAAACCACGTAGGGTACAACATTTAGTGTCAACCTAGTGGCAATAACATATGTAGCACGTTGTAAAGCAAGTATTTCCGTACAGCACCTCTCTGGCAAACAGTATCTTTGATTATGATACGTACCACTTCATCAACTATTCAGAACATCTCAGGTAAGACTGAATGACAACAAATTACCGCCGCATATCAGCATTTATCTCAGCCTGCTATCTCTGACCTCACGTCGTTATACTGAACAAAACGAACGGGTGAAACCGCGCATTTTCCGTTGTTTTCAGCTGCACAATGTACATAATTAAATGCTTTTAATCCTGTCTGTTTATCACTTCAACTCATCCTTTAAGTAAGGATAGTATGGGACATATTTACGGAATCTTTTTACTGAGATTATCATCTTTTGTCGTGTGCATATGCAAAACATTTCAGACTGATCGCAGCTTTCAAACACTTGCTAAGAGACAGGTGTTACTGAAGGAACAATAAATTCCTCTCTGACAATAAACCTGCCTATGCGTTGTTCCCTCCACGTTGCATGCCGATTTTCTGGTCGATGTCTAGCGAGTTTCGACTCACACCCGAGAAGCTGAAGGATTTGAGAAAATTGTTTGCAAATACATTTTCGGATATCTGATTCTGTGCCCAGAGTCATATACATACTTGTTTGAGTGATTCAAGGTTCAGCCACCAAATACCGAAGGTAAATAATTTCATGCCAAGGTGTTTCACTGCACAAACCGCAGCATCATCAGAGCTGGACATTTTTTGTACTCAATTAGCTTACCTAACACGATCAATTTAACGTTCTTAATCTCGGCACCCACTGAGATCATTTGTTCAGGAACAGAACAGTCGTTGCCTACGTGGCTCTTCCTTTAACTTCACTAGAAGAAGAGGTACTCTGCGCAAAACCAAGTCTGCAGAAAGCAATTTAACTACAGTTCTTGGTCTTTTCTTAAGAACAAATAATTTCATGCCATACACAACACCGAACCTGATCAAAGAAACGTACAGATGGATTTTTGTGAAAAGGCCTTCTTTCTCAGCCCAAATATTGCATAGGCTTCCAAAAGCACTCGATGATATGGCGATCCTTTTAGATCATTCTGACTGTCATCACTGGAGGTGATGGAGCCCAGATACTTAAATTGGTCAACGTCCTGAAAGGCGTCACCGCCCGATCCCGCTGTTAGATCAGCTGTGCCGGATGGATTCCTCGTAAGTTTTTAAACTTTAGGGTGCTAAGGTAAAGGCCAGCTTACGAATGTGTGTCGATGTGGAAGCCATCATATGACAGTACTACTAACCCAAACAGTATCATCTGCGTACTCCAAGTCAGCAAGATATCTAGCCAGATATACTGAACTACACCTACCCTCTAGTACGAGACCATCGTTTATATCAGGGCAAGCAACGTATGA